TCATTGGCCTTCTTGGCCACCTGGGCACACTGCCGGCTCATATTCAGCCAGCTGTCAACCAGCACCCCCAGGTCTTTTTCTGCCGGGCAGCTTTCCAGCCACTCTTCCCCAAGCCCATGCAACGCTACAAGCTTGTTGTGACCCAGGTGCAGGACCTGGCACTTGGCCTTGCTGAACCTCATACACTTGGCCTTGGCCCATCGATCCAGCCCGTCCAGATCCCTCTGTAGAGCCTTCCTACCCTCAAGCAGATCAACACTCCTGCCCAGCTTGCTGTTGTCTGCAAACTTACTGAGGGTGCACTCGATCCCCTCGTCCAGATCATTGATGAAGATATTAAACAGAACCAGCCCCAACACTGAGCCCTGGGGAACACCACTTGTGACCTGCTGCCAACTGGATTTAACTCCGTTCACCACAACTCTTTGGGCCCGGCCATCCAGCCAGCTTTTTACCCAGCAAAGTGTACTCCCGTCCAAGCCATGAGCAGCCAGTTTCTCCAGGAGAATGCTGTGGGAAACGGTGTCAAAGGCTTTACTGAAGTAAAGCTCTGTTTACTGTGTTCACTTAAAAATAAACTTAGTATGTGGTATGGCAATTGTTCTCATTCAAATTTTGAGTCATCCACTGTGTAATTAGAAAATCTATATAAGACAAAAGAAAGCACAGGGATTAAAGAAATGGGAATAGCTGTTCAACATACTAGCTATTCCCGGTATGTTTTGGAATAGGTATTTGCTTTTTGAAATATTGGGATTTTGGAATATCCACTGATTCAGGGTTATTCAAATTTTTCTGAACTGATGGATGCTGGGAATATATAGAAAAACTAACATTTGTGCTGTAGAGTGAGGCAATGAAAAACAGTAAGGGACTCGGCTGGATTCTTAAATCTTCCATTTTTTGGAATTTCTAGGGAAGCTAAGAGGACCCTTGGATCTCATTATAAAACTCTTACTTTGTCAGTATTGTGAATGTGACAAAGGGAAAAAAAAAAGAAAGTAAAAAGTTAAGGCAACTTCTTTACTTAATAGTATAGAAGTAATCAGTAATGTTTTGTTCCTTGTGGTAAAAAAATAAGGGTGTACAATGTTAGAAAATATTTTTTTATCACCTTGTTGCTCTTGAAATAAGTATTGGTAACAAAAATTAAAAACTAGCATAGTTATGGTATGCTTTGCGTATTGCCCAAACAGGCTGCTATACAACTTTGCTTTCACTGTTATCCGTAACAGTATATTCTTCAGAGAATTAATACTGGTTTTAATTTTGGGAACTTGCCGTTGTAAATGGAAAAGAATTCTTTCCAATTTTATTTTTTCTGGTTTAATCCTGGCGTAATAGAATAGTTTTCCATAACAGTGTTGCTGGTGGTTTCTGTTTTCTTGCAGTTTATTTTAATAGACTTGTAGAATTTAATTGTATTGTTATTTGGACTTTTGCTCGTACAGTGTTTCAAGTAGCATGATACCAAGGAAAGTTAACATACTTTAATTGATTGTAAGTATTTTATTGATGTAAAATTTTCTACATACTAAGATATATAGCACCTTATCAGTTGTGTTATTTGCTTTTAAGAGTTTAATGGGGTAAATGATGGGATTTTTTTCCATTCTAATACAAGACAGTATTTTGGGACCTTTGGACAAATTAAGCTGGCATGAGAATATAGTTATAAGAACAGCATATTTCTATAATATGTAACTTTCTGCTACTTTTTCTGTTAGTCTTGCCAGAGTTCTGTAGTGAAAGAGACCTTTGTCTCAGGATTTTTCTTCGGTAAACTGAATTAAAGTAGAAAAAATGATAATCACTTTTCACAACTATGGTTTTTCATATTTGCTGTATTCCAGAACAGTGGGGACTACATTGTTGCGCATTTCAAATTCGGGATTTTAGACTTTTTCTGTTATAAAGATAGCAGAAGCATAGTTTTGCAGAAACTGTTCAGTTTTGGCTGAAAAGGAGTAAATAGCTAAAGGTAAGAAATAACATTTTCCTTTTTCAGTTGAAACACTTTCACTGAAGAGTCTTTAAAAAAATGGTGTTTGGTCCAATTCAGTGGTGGTATTCTTCATTTTGTACACTAATAGCATATGGTTAAATGCCACTCTTACGTGTACAGATGAATTACGTAACTTCATAAATGCCTTCTACTTCCAAAACCTTAGAATTCCACCTGTCCTCCAGAGTGAATCCATTCAGTACCGTTGAGTTCCTGCAAAAATACTTTCTGCAAAGATGACAGAATAGTAAAGCACCAAGAATGCGTAAGTTAGGATTCTGAGATTCTGTATTTAAAGCAGGTGTCGCTGTAGGTTGACAAAAGTTTCTTAAACCAGTAAAGACAGCAATAAAATGGTTGTCATTCTATCTCACAAACGTTTGTAAAGTTATGTATTTCTCCTTATGTCAGTCATTATTCCCATATAAATAAGCATGGTGCTTTAACTGAATACTTTCAATACTTTAAGTACTGCAGCAAAGTAATTGATTTCTTCTAAACCCGATAGTGTATGTACAAGGTAGACTCAGTCATTTTGACAAGAGCCTGAAAGCCTGTGAATAATTAAATCCAAAAAAATAAATTAAGCTATCTTTGATTTTTATCTTTTTTCTTACTGAAGTGGTGAAAAATGTTTTTTAGTTTTACTGTCTGTGTAGAAACTGTGTTGCTTAGTAGGCATTATTCTGATTTAATATTTAGTTAATAATGGATGATGGATCACATCTGATAGTGTAGCATATAGGAAAAGAAAGAGTTTGAACTTTGTTTAGACCTTTGGTCCTTGGCCAGTAGAGACTGGGGGGGGAGGAGGGGGAAGGAAAAACCATAGACCAACCTTCCCCACTCCCACAAATCCTAGTTGTAAATATGTATCATAAAATGTCTGTATTACTCTGCAGTCAAGCAAACCTATAGACAAATCTTTTCAGCACCTGCTAGTAATGCAGTGTTATGTCTAATCAGTGAACAGTAATAAGGAGGATGGTCAATGTATATTTACTTCTCATTTGCAAAAAGTTTTGATTAAAAAAAATCATATATGTGAATAAATACACTAGAAGTCTTGGTGTGTTCCTTTTTGAACCATAGTTTTTTCTATTATTTCAATTTTTTTTAATTTCCATTTTTCCATGGCTGCATTGCTTTGAGTTTTGTAAAAGTCTGCACTTAGAGGGAAATTGAGATTCGTCTTTTCCATGTGCTGCCCTCCAAACCCTCCCTCAGAGCAGCTGCAACATGGCCTGTTTTGCTTACCCATTCATTTTGTTACGCACTGAATCCTGAGTTCAGCTATCTCTGTGGTGCATGGCTGTGGTGCAGTAACAGGGGAGATGAATTTTGGCCCATAGAAAAAAATAACGTAACAACATTATTTACAATTTCTATGAGTATTGCAACAGTTACCAGGGGTTTTTTTGCCAATTTTTATGCATGTATTTTTGAAGGACTGTGGAGCTTCTTGCCAAAAAAACCCAAACCAACACACCCCCCCCCCCAAAAAAAAACCCCAAACCCAAACCTTTTTTTCTGAAGTAATATTTCTGAATAGCTATTAGGAATACAAATACGGCATATTTGTATTCTTTAAAAAGAAAAACAAGTTTCATCCTATGAAATTCTGATTACATCTTACTGTTTATGCTAAATGTGAACGCACTAAGTAAGCTCGGTGATCCTGTTAACAGAAGCGCATGTCACAAATCCCTGCTTCGTTCTACAGGTGCACTAGTGTTTCTGATTTCTGAGACACTCCATCTCCCTCTCGGTCTCCCCTCCAAATCATTTAACATTGTGTGATTATTTTTACTGGATGTTTTGTAGCTTTCTGAAAATGTTACATTTTGGTATGGTTCATTTTCAGGAATCTTATGTTTGTCACTTTATTTTCCTGAATTTCAGAAACAAAACACTTGGCTAAACAATGTTATCACTTATTGCATGAGTAGCTTTGGGATGCTGGGACTTAAGTTTTAGGACAGTGGCTTTGGTGCAGGAAGTTGTTTCCTGAGCTGGTAACTTACACAGATAAGTTCTACTGGAGGTGATAGAGGTGTTTTCAGAAGTGGTTCCTGGCTTTCTCCACTGTGATGCATTTCTAGTACTGAATCAGATTTGGTGTAAGGTAATGCTAATTTGGGGTGGGGGTGGAGGGGTGGTATCCATTGTTGCTTTTTACTGTTGTGTACAGAGTGTCCCTGACAATTCCCAAGGTTTGGAAACAAATTTATTGTCATTGGGACTCTGCTTACTGTGATGTTAGAACAGCTCTTACGTAGGTTCTGAACAGCCATGCAGTATGGAGAAAAGGAGGCTGAGGGGTGACCTCATGGCTCCCTACAGCTTCCTGAGGAGAGGACCTGGAGAGGGAGGTGCTGAGCTCTTCTCCTGGGGATCTAGTGAGAGGACACATGAGAATGGTTCAAAGCTGCGCCAGGGGAGGTTTAGACTGATCATTAGGAAGCATTTCTTTACCGAGAGGGTGGTCAGACACTGGAACAGGCTTCCTGGAGAGGTGGTCGATGCCCCAAGCCTGTCAGTGTTTAAGAGGCATTTGGACAATGCCCTTAACTACATGCTTTAACTTTGGGTCAGCCCTGAAGTGGTCAGGCAGTTGGACCAGATGATTGTTGTAGGTCCCTTCCAACTGAAATAGTCTATTCTGTTCTGTTCTATTCTATTAATAGCAACTGGTACATCCCTGCTTCAGTTGGAATGTAATACCTGTATTGCTTCCTTTTCTTCTGCTCTCAAGGAACATTATGTACCTATTAACACAGCTTTAAAGTGATTATTTCGCTCTTCTCTAGGCCCTTTAGTGATTAAAGTACTGAATTTCTAAATTTTTGTGAAGATATAGCATACATTTAGGATAACTGTCACTAAGAAATGAGTGTGGTCATGATAAAAATTTAGTAGGAATGAAAGGGATGACCTGTATTACATGTGTGAAATACTTTTGATATTTACACTCACATGTTTTCCTTTTAAAAAGGAAATTGTCAAGGAAGCATTAATGGAGGAGCAAAAACGAAGTGAAAAGGCAATTGAAGAAGCAGTGAAAAGGACAAGAGAGGAACTGATGGAATATATTAAAGAGCAGAAAAGGGTGAGTTACCAGTGGCTAACGGGTTTCACTTCATGCGGTGAGAAATTGGAGAAGTTTATTAATCCTGTCTTAAAATGCACAAGGGCACAGAATCAGGAGTTACATCTTCCGATTCGTCACTCCTTTTTTCAAACAATTTGTTGCATTGATATATTTCTTCATATATATTTATAGAATTGTCAGTTCATCACAAGCCAAAAAGCAGAAATGAATACATGGGTTGAAATTTACAGTATTTCTTATTACACTAACTTAAAGATGGGACATAAATGCAGTCTGTCAAATTCAAATTGTGATCTGAGTTCTGTTCATTGAAAGTATTTCAGTATCAATAACACATGCTATTTTATGTTCTCAACCCATATTATATGACAGCCTGAAAATGTATTGGTGTTCTATTGAGCATGATTTATAGTCAGTGCACTGTTCTTGTTATGAAATGCTGTAATGTTCTGAAACTTGGGTTCGGTTATTCTGTTAATGCTATATACTTGCAGTTTAATGCTTATATATACTCATTTGTATAAACAGTAAAATGAAACTTAAAAGACAGTTCAATTCGTTTTCAGTAGGAGGAGAAAAAATAACACATTTCTCCCCTTTGAGGCTCTTTAGAAAAATAAAAAAAAAAAATTAAAAAAACCCTCTTTCATATGGCAGTAGCAGCACAAGATCAAATTCAGTGATTTCAGTATTCTCAATAAATAAAATCACTAAGCTTGAATCTAATTGGTAGTCTTGTCCTGAGAAGGAAGTAGAAATAACGTGTTTGGCCTCTTCTTTTCCCTGCTTTTATGAGCTGAATAGTAGTATGGGAAATAAGATTTAACTTCAGAAGTTTCACTCTGCTACTAGTTAAGATTAATATTGGGTAAGCTCTCTTCCATTATGCTGTGCGTGGAGAAATTTCCATTTAGCAGTATGGGTCTTACTGGCAAAGGCATTTAAACAGATGTCCAGGGCAAAACACGATCCATAAGGGTGTTTGAGCTTATTGATATCTGAAGTTGGTCATTTACAAAGGATAAGCTGTGGGGAAAGTGAAAATGGGTCTACTATTAAAATAGCTTGTATCATAAGTAAATTGGTTAATAGGACCTCTAGTGCAGATCATCTAGTGCATCTAATGCAGACTCGTCACGGTTGACAGCTAGATCACGCCATTTTGAATTGACAGGTAATTTCCTGCAGGCACATCAATAGCAACTTACCTGTCCTTAATCTCTTTGGTTTCCATTTTCATCAGGAGTGGAGATTTTCTTCCACTTTATTTCCACCTACACACACAGTTGGAGCTCATTGCCATTATTCCATTGTCTGACCACTGTTAATGTCTCTTCTTGTTGTGAAGTTTTCATAAATCAGTGAAACAATGAAAATACCATCTTCAAAGAAACAAAATCCTCTTTGGCTTTTCTAGTAGGAGCATCATTTCCATTCATTTCATCGAGTTCTTGAATATCAAAGTATTTCAGTCAACTTTTTTCCCTTATTGATCAATTGACACATATCTCCATTTAAAAAAAAAAAAAACAACAAACATATGTATGGACAGCTAGCTTTTTCTGGCATAAGATTTATGAAGTCTATCTGTATTTAAGTTGAGAGTGGAAGATGGTTTTAACTCCAAATCATTTGGCATAATAGCTTCTATATAATTATATAAGAGGCAGAGTAAATGGACCTTGGTCAAAGCCCATGCACCTGTCAGAGTAATAAATATACTTTATGGACTATACTAAAAAGTAACAGCTTATGGAAGGAATTCCTGGAAGGAACTCAGGGAAAATGCCTTGCTTTCCTGGCTGAGATTGTGATGGTTTTTTTTCTTGAGTGATGCGGGGAGTCCCACTTACACCCTTGCAAAGGTAGTGTACACCATATATGTTTCATCATCACTATTTTGAAAATAAGTTTGTACTGTCCTTCAAACCATGGGACATGGGCACAACAGTATTTGTACTTGGTTAGCAGTGGTTAAGTGCTTCAGGAAAAGACTCATAAACAGATTCTTGTCCAGCTTATTTTGTAATAGTACAAAGTACATTACCTCATGGTAAACCTACTACATAGAAGGTTTCAAAGTAGCTTGTAACTTGCTTAGTCATTTATTCCATTAAAAGTTTCTTTTAGCAAAAGTATAATAATTGTGAAATCAGTTTAAATCAGTTTAAGAAAATCAGTTGCATATTGGGCCAGTTATTTATTTGCTACAAATATTTTAAAATATTAATGAGCATTTACAGTTGTATCTGTGCTTGGATTCTTGGAAGAATTTCTATAACAGTTTATAAAAGTTGGATCTGACAATCCCACAAGTTTTGCAGTACGTTATAAATGTAATCGAGCATTACACTGTACTATATATAATAGTAAATTTTTACTTTGAGTTAGAAAGAATTGATTGGTAATGAATCTTTTTAAAAATAGATTGATTTGATAATTATTTGTAGAAGTCATTTGTGTCAACATAACATATACATTGAAAATAAACCATAGAAATCTCCTGTTGCAGTTCAAAAACTGACTTCAGTTATATTCTAGCTAACCATTTTTTAATTTTTTTTTTATTACACATTCCTGATGATCAGTAAACTTAAAATCTTGTAGGCGAGTGGAGGAACAGTAGGAAATATGAAGTTTGATATATTTGTTGTTGTTGTTTTTTTAAGGTCAAGTTCAAACCATCTTTATTCAAACAGGTATTAAATACATATTCTGAAACAGTCTAACCTACTGCATCTCAGGATTCAAAAGAGAACTTAGTTTCTATCACAGTCTCTCATTAGCCTTTCATCAGTGAGAACTGAAGCAAGAATGTGTAGCTTAGCCACACACCACAGAAATTGCCCCAGCAATTTAGTAATTATTGACCAAAATATGATACTTCACAAGTCTAGGGTTTGTTTAAAGAAACATGTAGTGATGGTTGTGGGGGTTTCTATTCATTCTGTGTCAGATTGTCTGATTTTGCACATTGGCTTCTGAAAGCGCTTTATTTATAACTAGATTTTCTGGAATAGGAAGGTTATAAGACTGGAATGGACTTTTGGGCTTATCAAACCAGTCTTTTGCTGTTATAGGTAATTCCTTTCCCAAGTGGTCATAGAAGCGTCATTTTGAAGCTCTTAGAGTAATCCTTTTCCAATTTATGGCATGAGCTGTATTAGGAATCAGTCAGTTCATGAATTTGCCATTCAGGTGGAGATAGTTGGTGTTTCTGTCCATTGTATATATCTGTAAAAGTATTAGGAGACAAAATAATACTGTAGTAATAATTTTGCATTAGTTTGCTCTGCATCCATACAGAGGATTAAAAGATGATCACAAAGTTAAGAGATTTTTGCCCTTCTAAGTTTCGTTCTCTTCTGTAATGTGGCCTTAGTGTAAATATTTGTTATTTTTGTGTATGGAATTGTTTGGAAATTCTTTCTGTAATCACCAATGAAGAGTCTTATGAACCTTTTTGTGTAAGGAGCTTTATCCAGTACGCCTTTAAATAAACAGTAAAAGTCCCATTTGATTTTGGTGTGAATACAAGTGCCTCAAAAATGTCAGCTTTATGCTGGAATGTAGAACTTCAATTGAATTTTCCTAGTTATTTTACAGGAATTCTTACTCTTTCAGTTATCCATGTTGGGTTTTTTACTGTGGGGTCATTTGATATTTTAAATAATTTAATTACTTGCATTTTTTTCTCTTTATGGTTACTTATTCATACTAGATTTTGTGCAAGACATTTATGCACTGTTTTCTCTTTGTGCTTAATTTTTTTTTTCCATTCCTGTGGTTGACTTTTCAATGTCAACAGTACTGTGCACTATGTGTTTTAAAATAATTATTTCCAGTAGTGTCAAATAATTGAACTGGCTTCTGAAAGCGTGACTTCACATTAATTTGGAATAGATTAGATCCAGTGTGAACTGAAATAATATCTTGGTGCAGAAATTTTTATTTCCTCTAGGTTTTCTTTATTGACATCTTTTCTACCAACTTTTCATGTATAAAGTGTATAAAACCTTTTTGTTTGATTGTTTGTTTTAAATTAAACCAAGAGGAGGAGATTCTAACTTATATTCTTCCTACTTTCCTGTTTCCAAAACACTGGAAAACTATTGAAATCCTGTATTTATCCTAGAATTTTTTGTGCCAATATCTAAAATTTTATAGGAAAAATCGCTTGAGAGAAATTTGACTAATTCAGATGGGTATATACCTCTATTGGGTCTGCTGTCTTAGAGAATAAAGGTTAAAATAAGTTGAAGAGCATGAAGATGTGTTGCACTGAGCATCTGTCAATCGCATGCTTAGTTTCACCTCAGTTCAGTTGAGGTGAGAGCATGTCTTGCTTGATTGTTCCTCCCCCCCTTTTTTATACTGAAGGTAAATTTAAATATATTCTCCATGTGTCATCTGAAATGCCCTTCTGGTTTTGTATTTCTAGTTATACATCATTATTCTGTTCTAATTCTTTTATGTTTAAAAAAGGTTCCTTCAGTAGGACCCAGGTAGTTCTCCCTGTAGGTCACTTTGCTTCACACCTTTATTTCTTTTTAAAGCTATGGGTTTTTAACCTTTGACTGAGATTTAGTTGTTTATGATTTAAAATGCAGATGATTGATCTTTAAAATACCAGTGTTTTGCCACAACCATATAGAGCTAGTTTCATAAACACTGAACCATGTACTAGGGCAACAATGTTAAATACTTAATGTAACCGAAGCTCAAAAGTAATAACAGATCCTGTCCTTCAATGAATTTTAGTCCCCGTCATTTAGTCCCTCAACAATTTTAGTCCCCAACTTAATGGATAAAGCTGCTCTTCAGAGAATGTTCAAGTAGAAAATGCATTAAATTACATTTTAGCATTAAGTTAACTGTGAATGATTTTTAATCTTTCCCTTGCCTTCAGCATACCAACCATATATTAAGGAACTTAGTATTATTTACAAATTTGCAACATATTTTTGGTTTGGATATTTTGTTCTATTCTGTCTTTT